CAGACCTCACAGGCTAAGGGGTCGGGGCAGCAGATCACACCCTCTGTCCCCCTCAAGAGGGAGTCTCCCACAACAACCACTCTGTGCCTCTTCTTAGGTGTGGTTATTGGTTGCCTTCCTTCCTCAAGTGCTGAAGCGGCAACTATGCTGGTTCTTCTGATGTTGCTGCGAGGGGTTTGCACCTGTTGTGAAGTTCCAGAGGGGTGGTGACCCTGGTGCAGGATGCCTTGGGGCCGGAGACTACCTTTGTCCAAGCAACCCCCGGCTGGACTTCACAGGGGCTCCTCTTGTACACCCTTGTCCTGCTAGCCTTCCTTGCTCTTCCCTCCTCATTCTTCAGGTGAAGAGCCTGGTGGTAGGCATCAATTTTCTCTTTGCCATTCTGGCCCCTGATGCCATGCAGCCTCTGCACTGCAGCCTGGAGCTCCCCTACCTGGCACTGCAGGGACTCTAATGTGGAGCGCACCCCACAAGGCAGGGTGTCCTTGCTCCCAATTCCAGATGGCTGCATTCATGCTAGGCATCCCCCACAGCCGAGAGCCAGGGGCTCCATCCGAGTGGAGACTGGAGCCATGGGCTCCATCTGGATAGAGCCCTCAGAGAGGGAGGCTCCAGCTGTGGGGCAGAGGGAATCTTCAGGGCACAGCACATCACCACCATCACACAAGTAGTAGTCTGGGCTACTGCCATGCTGACCCTTTTCTTCAGGCTCACCGTCTAGCGCCTCGTGCCCCTCCTGCTCACCCTCCTGCATGAACTCCCATGCTAACTTGTGCACCTGGCCCAGAGTGCACCTGTTTGCATGCTCTGTTTGTGAGGCTCCAGTCGCGTGGCTCCCTGGGGGGGCTGGGCGAAGTAGGAGCCAGGGTGGTGTGACCCTCCTTGGCTCCACTCAGCTGCCTCATGCAGCTATCTAACACCCACTTACCTCCCAGCTGTACTGGGGGTCAAAGTTGGGGTCTGCTGTGCCTGCTGGGGGTCACTGGATGTCCTGGGCTTGCGGGGAGTCAAACCCCAAAGTGCGGTCTCTGCCATTGGCTGGCCCTTTTTAATACATATGTGTGTGTATGTGTGTGTGTGTGTATGTGTGTGCATGTGCGCACACATATATATATGTATGTGTGTATGTATCAGTTGAACACAATGTTTTATTGATATATTTACAATTTTAAAGCAATTTGGAAGCCTACCACTGCTTCAATAATTATAATAAAATAAATTATAAATACTTATATGTGTTTGTGTTTGATTTTGGCTTTTTTTAACATGGAAACTCAGAGCCTCCCCTGCCCCCTTCACTCATCAGGATGCAGGTCCAGCTTCAGGTGTCCCCTCTGCTTCTTTATGGTGCTAAGCAAGCCTGATGTGCTGGTGCCCCTCACTCCCAAGCTATAACCCCAAAGCCTCATGGTGCTCTTCAGTCCTGACCCATATCCCCCCTGTTCCAATCGAGGCCCCTCACTCCTGATCTGCAGCCCCCAGGCCCTGCTGGTGCCCCTCACTCCCAACCCATAGCCCTGCAGTACCCCAGCCCTGCTGGTGCCCCTCACTCCCTACCCACAGCCCTGTGTCCTGCTGGTACCACTCACTCCTGACCCGTAGCCCCCTGTACCCGCCCCAGCTCTGTCAGAGGGGGTCCCACCTGCCACAGCTATGGGACGTGGCAGCTGCATCTTGCCTACTCCCTGCTCCATGGGTGCCAGCCACAGATGGCCAGCAGCACCCAGTCCCTGGCTGCTATGCTCGAGTGGAAAGAGAAGTGTGGAGCTTGGCCCCGCCCCCCCACCCATGGACAGCAGAGCTGGAGCAGAGCTGAGTGGAGCCCATGGTGGGGGTGGAGGGAGGATGAGGGCTGCCAGTGTGGGAGGGTGGAGCACGGCAGGGAGACTCAGTGCTGCCACCACCACTGCTACTGGGACCCCCATACCAGCTGTCCTGCCATAGCAAGGCACCCCCTGCCCACCCGACAGCAGCAGGAGGGGCACCACTATGGAGTTGTGCCCCCCGATGTTACCGGGTGGGCAGGGGGCACCTCACCTTGGCAGCATGGCTGGCACGGGGATCCTGAGAGTGGCAGCATCACTAACCCTCCCCAGCTCATTCCACCCTCCTGCACCAGGTGCTTCCTGCTTGGCTGTGGAGGTGTCTCCTGCCTGATGCCAATCCAACCAAGCTGCAGTCCCATGCCTTGCTGCCCATGCAGAAATCGGGTGGGGGGGCACATGCCCCCCAAACATATCACCGATGGGTATGCCCAGACCATGTCTAGACGGTCCCCAAGCCCATACCCTCCAACCCTGCCCCCTCTCCCATCCTGTCCCATAGACTTAACTTTATCCAGTTGCTGGGGCTGCTCCCACCACCCTGCCTGACTGTATTGCCAGCCACATGTATGTGCATGTGCGCACACATGTGGTACCCCCTGCCTCCGATTGCCCTCCCCCATTCCTCCCAACCTCTTGAAGGCTGGAACTCTGCCAGCCTGCAAGGTGAAACCTGCGATTTTCTGCTTCAAAGGGGAAAATCCATGTTTTGTCCTGTAAAAGGGAAAATTCATGTTTTTCTGAAGGAAATGGAAAACTTGGGTCCCTAATGATAACTCTTTGTTAAAGGTACTTTGAAGTTTCTGCGTTATACTTTTGGATTCAGCCCTTAAGGCACAATCTCCTGTAATCTCAATATACATCAACACATGAGTGAAGTGACAGGTCTCTGAAATGGAAGACATGAATTCGAATCTTAATTTAGTGGCAGAAGCAAATGCCTATTTTACAAAATATATCTATAAACTATAATTATGGTATACACACACAGTGGGATATTGGACTGGAAATAGCTAGTGACTCATTAAGGTCCCACTAGGATGTTGCTTTTTGTTTGTTTACCATTTAGCATAAAATAGCTTTGCAGCAACTGAACAGATTTTTTTTGTAACACTGTAAATGCTGCAAGCTCTGTGGCCAAGTGGTATTTCCTCAGGAAATCCAACCCAGTTGCAGTAGTTACCGAGCTCTTTGTTCTGACTAGCCTTGGAACACATAGCAGTTAAATGTTACCTGTACTGCTACTGGGATAGACATTTAAGAAACCTCTGAGATACTGGACTTGAAAGATACTTGTTTGATAAGCACTCTGGAATATTTGCAGAATTCACCACGTATAATGCTTTTAATGCTCTAAAATATATGATTTTTAAACTCAAGGAATATAGATATAATTCAGTAAAAGAATCAGATTATTTGTGATGCTCTTTCTTAGGAAAACTAAGTCACTCATATATTGTATCCCAGCATCTGTGTTCAAAATGCCAGTTTTCAAAACCAGCATGTTAAATTACTTTCTCTTTTTGATAGTTATCATACGGAAGATCACAAAACCAGTCAAACCCATGATAAAATACTAAATTGGGTGCTTATAAAATTACAGGTTTATATTGTTTATTTTAACATCTTCACCTGAATAATGCAGGGCACATACTTTTGCACAGCTAGGTTACTTGATTTGTTGGGATCCTAATTTATGTAATTTGCATTGGAGGAAACTTATTTCTTAGTCACTAGCTCCCTACAGTATTTATAAGGGAGGCAATTGACAGCATTTTAAAAAAACCTGAAATTTCTTAATTTACAAACGAAGTTTCTGATAATGTTCATTAGGGGTGTACGCTCACATGCAGGGGCCTGTGCTTGCAGCAGCAAAAATAGTGGCACACATTTATGCCTCTACTTTTTGTTGCAGTGCATGACACTGCACGTGTGCTTTAGTGTTGGGCAAACTGCCCCACTTCCGGGAAACTGCTCT